GTTTCTCCCAGGCAAAAATATGGATCGGATTATCAATCGGATTATGTTACAGCCGTATTATGCGAACCGGCAGAGGGAAATAGCCGTAAAGAACCGGGTACAGGAACTGCTCGAACCGTAACTTTTGCTTTTTGATGAGTCGTTAATCGAGACGTCGCAAGCTCAGGAAAGCATTACAGACGACAAAGCGTGATTTATTTATACATTATCTAATGCCAATTTTCGCTTGCAGATCTTAGAGGTCGTGTACTTGTCTCTTTACGTATTTTTAACTATCTGACGTAAAAGTCTACATAGACTTCTTAGTGACTTGACTTAGCTAACTTTGAAAAGCCATATTTTTTTACAATGGTTGTATTATGTATAAACTTGAAGTTTTCAGGAATTTCTGATTATCGGTTCAAATTTCATAAAACATAAAAATCCCTGAGTGTCAACTGGAACACCCTGTACTTTTTTAAATTACCATTTTGGGCTGAGTATTTACATAAATCCATACAAATGCATAAATATTTCCAAACTTAACGCGGTTGAAGCAGGAATAGGAGCGTCTCCCTAATGTTTCCCATCATGGACAACGGATTCAAGCCCTTTCCTTAAGGATTCGATGGAATCCCTATGGTTCCATGACATCCTGCATATATCGTGGAAGATTTAAAGAACATAGACATATAAGGATTCAATAACAAGTAACATGAGCGGATAGGAACCAATGATACTCCTGTAGGATCCCTTTTGAATTTCATAGTTGAGAAACCTCAGAGGAACATGGGTGATGGCTTCACGCGCTCGATGGACGACTCGCATGGCTCAGAGGCGCAAAGTTCGATTACCTGTCACTTTCAGGAAAGTCGTTTTGTTGTGTAAGTATTTCATTCCTCTAAAAGGAAAAAAACATTATTGCGGGTTCGACGGAGAAGCAAAGAGACAAAAACGGGGTGGAAATGGGAAAACTGCATGCGATCGTATCTATCGTCCTACCAAGCTCCAGCGGATGGAAAGTGCGAAAAAATGTAGGCATCGCACACATTGCCGTTATCATAAAAAAGCTCTTTATCTAGCAGGTCTTTATCGCAGTACGACATAATCATGCGGATGGAATGTTTATCAGATTATCTCATTCAAGTTTGCCTAATCGGCACATGATCTTTTATCACCACTTAACCACTAATGAAGAGAGATACGTGCAGGCACGGCAAAAGCAAGCACTGGGTACCGGGGATGGCTCGCATCCGGCCGCTTCCCGTCTTCCCTTCCACGTTCGCATTGGCGCTTATCACTTTTACCTGAGAGCTTCTCCCCTATTGGTTCTCCATACTCGGAAGGGAGCAAATTTTTATGCAAAACTTTCCCACAAAATAACTGCAAGTAGGGTTTTCCAAAACTGGTGAATTTCCGGACATAGTTTCTTCCGCGGTTTTGAAATCCCGGCTGAATGCCTGTAAAGTTTGAATGGGAGTGCGATGGAGAGTTTTTTTCGGCATCTTTTATGCATAAAAAATGTGACAAATCATAATGTAATGCATCCATTGCAATTTTCCATATCTGTGCCATTTTCTTGACATAAAGCCGAACTATTCGAAATAAAAAAATATTCACTACCATTCAAAGAGTCTTCAATGTTTCTGCCTAGAACAAGATTAAAATAAGGGAACGGAAATTTTGGGTAAAAATTATTACCAATTATTACTATATCAATTATTATCCGGCGATGAAAAAATTTTCAATTTGCATGAGATGAAGAAAAAAATGAGTGGTACCTACTGCGAGTACTACCAGTTCGTCGGAAAGGTACGAAAACTGGTACCCCAGTGTACACACCCCGGGAGTTCCCCGAGTCAACGAAGAGAAAACCGAGAGCGAAGTCATTTGCTTCTTGGCATTAAAAAAAGACCAATGGGAAAGAGTAGGAGAAAG